GGAAGGAACAAGGGAAAACAGGAGGTTTTCCCCGTGGACCGACCCGTGATGAGATCCTATTCCCAGGCCCTCAACAGTGGGTCTTGGAAAAGAAAGCAGTTTAAAATAGGTATATGGACCTAATTAGGGATATGTATGAAGGGGCAACAACCAATGTTAGAACACAATTGGGAGAGACTTCAAATTTTACAGTTACTATGGATCATGACCAAGGTTCAACACTTAGCCCTTATCTATTTGCATTGATCATAGATGAATTGATTAATGATATTCAGGAGGAATTTCCAATGGTGCATGTTGTTTGTGGATGACATTGTTTTAATTAATGAAACTAATGAAGGATTAAATGCAAAATTAAGCTTATGGACAAATACCTTAGAAGTAAGAGGTTTTAAAATAAGTAAGACTAAAATAGAGTATATGACATGTAAATTTAGTAATAACAAGAGTGTAAATCACGATACACTTAGGATTGGAGACCAAGAGATAACTCAACGTGACCATTCCCAGTACCTTGGTTCAATAATTCATAACAAGGGAGAGATTGAGGAGCAAGGTTTAAAGCTGAAGCTTTGGTTTTTTAGCGGGTTGTGAAACCAATGATAAGGTTTCACGCTAGTAATAAAATACATGGGGCCCTCACCTTTCACAGTGGGACCCATGAATTTATTACTGGCATGGAACCTCAGCATTGGTTCCACAACCCGCTGAACAGCCAAAGCGTTCAGCTAATCCGAATTCGAGATTGAGGAGGATGTCACCCAAAGAATTAAAGTAGGATGGGCAAAATGGAGTGGTGCATTTGGACTATTATGTGTTAGGAGAACACCACTTATATTAAACGAAAAATCCTACAAAACAGTTGTAAGGCCAGCCATGTTGTATGGAGCAGTGTTGGGCAGTCAAGAAACATGTTCACTTGTCCAAAAAATGAATGTGGTAGAAACATGAGTGCTAAGATGGATGAGTAAAAAAACTAGAAAGGATAAGATTAAGAATGAAGTTATCCCTAGGAATGTAGGAGTAGCTCCAATAGGTGATAAAATGAGAGAGCAAACTAAGATGGTTTGGGCATGTGCATAGAAGACCACTAACTGCACTAGTTAGAAGAAGTGATTTGTTACACATTGGAGGGCCTAGAAGAGCTCGGGAAGACCAAAAAGGACATGAGAAACAAGATCGGCGAAATAGGATTCATGTAGTCGACCCCATATAGTTGGGATGAGAAATGGATGGTGATGATGTTAAGTTGGTGGATCAGTCGGAAGGGAAGAAACCTGTTGGGTGTAGATGGGTATTTACAGTAAAATACAATACAAATGACTTAGTTGAAAGATACAAGGCCCAACTTGTTGCAAAGGGATACACACAAACTTATGATATTGATATATTAAGGAACCTTTGCACGGTTGCACCAATCACCAAGATGAACACCATCAGAGGATGGATGTTAAAAATGCCTTCCTTAATGGTGATGTACGAGACGAGGTATATACAGAATTACCCCTAGGTTTTATGATACAGATGTAGGAAAAAAAGTTTGTCGACTAAAGAAGCCTTTGTATGGTCTAAAGCAATGTTATAAAAACGCAAGGCAAAAAAAAAAATCATGGGGCAATTTGTGCTTGAGGCACAAGGTGCAAAAAAGCAAATATTAAACATAATATTAATAAAAAAATATGAACTTAAATTTTAAAATAAATGTTTTTTTCACCTATTATCTGAAATTAAAATACATAAACATAACATGTAAAGTGTATTCAAATGAAAATATAAAAATAAAATCAAGCATATAAAACATATACAAGCATGTAAAACCCTCAATCTCTTTTTTTCCTTAATTGCATTACTTAAAATAGCTAATGTGATGTAAAACATCTTGCATTCCTATTTCTACGAACCACCTTTGTACCAAGCCCCTCGAGGCAAGCCCAAACAAGTCCGTTTTAAGTCTTAATTCTTAATTTGTACACAAAAAATGATTTTATAAATTTAATTGTTTTTTAATAAAATATTTTATTAGGATGAATGAATGAACAACATTAGAAAAAAGGAGGTCCTCAAAGCTTTGGTGTGCAAAGTGAGCAAATGTTGTTCATTCATTCATCCTTATAAAATATCTTCTTAAAAGGCATTTAAAAATATAAAATCATTTTTCGTGTAGGGGTTAAGAATAAGTCCCTAACATGGACTTGTTTGGGCTTGCCTTAAGGGGCTTGGCCGGGGTTCCACCCCTTAGACCTAGCCACTAGGTTCAAAAAGAACAAAAAGCACAATAAAAAAGTGCATGACTAGGCTAAAGCGCAAGGACACTAGGTGCATACCTATGTGCCTCGCTTGAGCACCTAGGCACACCTTTTAAATCATTGGTTTGAAGCAATCTCCAAAGTCATGGTTTGAAAGATTTAGACTTGCCTTGGAGAAGTTTGGCTATGTACAGGCCTAGTCTGATCACACCCTTTTTATCAAGAAAGCAGGCCCTTCCTTGACTGTTGTGTATATTGACGATATTATGGTGATAGGCAATGACACTTTTGAAATTGATTCTTTTTTTTTTTTTTTGATCAATAACAAAAAATGATTCTCTTAAGCTTCTACTTAATAAGGAGTTCGAAATGAAAGACTTGGGTAATCTGCAATATTTCTTGAGAATTGAAGTGACTCTAAACATGGCATTTTTTTATCTCCAAACGGAAATATGTCCTTGATCTATTAGAAGAAATTGGAAAATTAGGAGTTAAACTTGCCAACACACCTATTAAGTAGAATCATAAGTGTAGAAGGTAGTGAGCCTCTTGAAGACAAAACTATGTTTCAACGGTTGGTTGGGAAACTTCTTTATCTTTGTTTGACACGGTCCAACATTTCTTATGTTGTCAGTGTTGCTAGTTTGTACATGCATTCTCCTAAAACAACCCATCTACTTGTAGTTGAAAGGATCCTTATCTACTTGAAGAGATGTCCAAGCCATGGCATACTCTTAAAAAATAATTGTCATATGAAAATAGAGGTGCACACAAATGCCGATTGGGTCAAGTGTGTTGATGATAGGAGATCTACCTTATATTGTGCCTTTGCTGGAGGGAATCGTATTTCATGGAGTAAGAAACAAAATGTTGTTGCCCATTCTAATGCTAAGGCAGAGTGCAAGTCCATGCCTAATGATGTGGCGAAAGTGTTATGGATGAGATTCTTACTTAAGGTGTTGGGCATCAAATCTAAAAGGCCCTTGATGTTGTATTGCGATAACCAGGCCCCATAATCCAATACAACATGATAAAGCAAAACATATACCGACATTTTATAGAGTTGCTTCTCAAGAACTGTGTCTTCCTTATGTTGTCTCTAATATGCAGCTTGCTGATCTCTTCACCAAAGTAGTTACCAAAATCAAGTTAGAGACAGATTTACACGAGTTGGGAATGACCAATATCTATTCTCAACCAAGGTTCAAAGTATCGATACGATGGGCGTATCGTATCGTAACTTTTGAAAAAGATACGGTCCGAAACGCCTGTTTCCAGGTGTTTCGGACCCCCAACTTTTTTTAAAAATAAAAACATCTTATAAGCTTCCCAAAAAACCAAACTTTGAAAAAAAAAACTAAAAAAAAAGTGTGTATCGGCCATTTCTAACTACCGATACGATACGGCCAAAATGCGTATCGTATCGATACTTTGAACCTTGTTCTCAACTTTTGGATAAAAAAAAAAATTGTCTATTCCCCTTGAGGGGGAGTGTAGAGATACAATTCTGTAGACTTGTGCTTCCCTTATTTGTTTATTCTTATTGTTTTTTCTTTCTTATATAGGCGGCACTGACTTTTATTTGCAAACATATATACAAAAGTAATGGGGTGGTAAGACCACAACTAACTACACCCCTTCTCTCATTCTCTCTTCGCTCTTTTCTCTTCTTCTCCTTTCTTCTGTTTTGTTCTTCTTTCTCTTTTTTCTTGTTGAATTTACATCATAATAGCTCAACTATTAAACTTTCAGCCAAGTAAACATAGTGAAGTTAATTTAAGAAATTACTTCAATAAAATAAAAAAATGTACTAATTGTTATTTTTGATAAAAAAATATTAATAGAACTTTTGAAATTAATAAAACTACATTTTGTTACAATTAATAAAAAGGGTAAAGTTTCTTAACATTAGTAATAAAAATAATATCCATAGTTCCATACAAAATTAATTTAAAATTAATATAAAATTAACACAAAACTATTGAACAATAATAAAACTAATATATTTAAGAAAATAAGTAATACAAAATAATACAAAGTTTTTTACTTTTAAAATTTGTTCTTCTTGATTTCAATCAAATTTATTTAAATGTTGTTTAAACTGAACATTAATAAATTTTATGGTTTGGTTGGCTTGAAACGAGGGGGAGGGGAGGGGTAATAGTCATATCTTCAAAGGTTCAGCATTGTCAATCCCTCAAGGAGTTTAGAAACTTCTCAGCAGTTCAGTTCCCAATGGAACAAATAATTGGTGGTTGATTTGTTCTATTTGAGCATTTTTGTATATGTTGTGAATGGTCTATATTGTGTGTCCCTTCTTCTTAAAGGGCCTTTTTTGTAATTCTGGGGGTTCTTCCCTTGATCTATAGTGCAAATCAATTTACTTACCTCTCAAAAAAAAATCATTATATTTATAAAATTCATAAAAATTATAAATAAAAAAATAAATTTATTTAAGTTAATAAAAACGATTAGAATAAAGATTTAATAAAAATAAAGCGTAAAAAATTAATTCCAACCAGTGCATATAAATGTATATGTTATATTAGACCACAATAATTTTGACTGGAATAATATGATGAAGTGAAAGTAGTGCTAAATTCTTGTTGAAGTTTGTCAAGAAGCAAATAACAAACAATTAGAATATACAAAAAACTAGAAAACAAAAATGAACTAGCAAACTCATCTAACATCAAAGTAGAAAAAAGGAAATTGTAATAAATGCATAACTGAAACAAGGAGAAAAGGACCCACCCCCAATTGTATAATACATGAGGGATCATGTCTATGCCAGTTCTTGGATCCACCATCGAAAGAAAGCATTCCTCCATAATAGTAAGAGCCACAGCTAACTTTGAGTTGCATTCAGCCATCAGTGCAAACTTTTGTGCAGAAAGGACTTTTGGATCACCATGAATACATCGCAGAAGAGTCCAAGAAAAGCCATCCTCAATACGGTTTGGCGCACCAACACGGGAACGAAGACCAGAATAAACCTGCATCCAACAGTGAATCAAGTTCTTAAAAGTAAGTCAATTACCCTTTTCAGAATACTAGTAGTTGCAAGAGATCAATCATAATTTATAGCAGACTCCAATCATTTGAAACATTCCATTTTTTTCACTTTTGTACTATAAGAACCAATGAAAACATCAAACAAGCAAATACAATACAAAAATATGGTCATAAAAGGCTAGGCTAGGCTGGGTCGAGGGATTTGGAGATTTTATGATATTTTAACAGGATGGGAGAAAGGCTAGGCTGAGCCAAACCCAATCAGAATGTAACTTAGGGTTGATGGATTTTAGGTTGGGCTAGGGCTAGGGTTGATAAAGGCTGGGTTGAGTTAGGGTTGGTGGTTTAGAACCTGAGTTTGGACTAGGGTTGAACTTAACCTGACCCAACCCACCCTGACCTACTTTTGTTATATAAAGGGCTGTGATCAGGTCATATTCAGGTCGGATCCAGCGACATCCAAATCCAACCCAATAATTGAAACTTCAAATCTTCATCTGATCTGAGATCTGAAATCTGAAATATTGGGCATGGATCAGACATTCAGATTTAATCCAAATCCACCTTATTGTCATTGAAATCAAGAAAAATTAAGAAGTTTTAATCCAAATCCACCTTATTGTCGTTGAAATCAAGAAAAATTAAAAAGTTTTAATCCAAATCCACCTTATTGTCATTGAAATATTGGACTTGCATCAGACAGATTCAGACTCCATATGGGTTATATATGTGTTTACCTCAGATCTAATTCAATTATGAGCCAGTTCTGATCATTTTCCATATGGGTTATATATGTCAAGTCTATAAAGAGTCCTTGCAATTGAAATTGATAAAAGCTAATTTGATGAATAACTCTCATGTCTTTTATGTTCTAACAGAGAGAGTTATTCTCTTTCTTCCTAATCTGTAATCACTTGCTCATTCTTTGGACAGTGAGCTGCTTACATGTTCTATTCTTTATCTTTATTCGCCCAATTACCAGTCTTCACTCTAGAATGCTCACCAAGAGATATAAAGGCTGTAGAAACTCTTAGCCATCCATCATCAAACTCAGTGATTGATAATCAGTTCCCTATGATTTCAAGTAAATCCTGAAGTGACTCTACATTGGTGATAAGAGCTTCCCTCTAGAAATCTCACCAACAGATAATAAAAGGTGACTCTACAATCACCTGTCTTCACTCTAGAAAGCTGACCAGCAGATTTAAAAGCTGGAGAAACTCTTAGCCATCCATCATCAAACTCATTGATTGACAATCAGTCTCTATGATTTCAATTCTGAAGTGGCTCTACATTGGTGATAATAACCTCCCTATAAATGGTTTTGGCAAATGGAAAAATAGTAATATTGATTCTTTTTCTGCTTTTTTTTTTATGAATATAATATTGATTCTTTATCCAAGTACCTGGTAAGAATTAAATTATCATTTCTCTAGGAGTGATGCTTGTATTAGAACTTTCTTTACTAAATTTCTTTTTCTCTTACAAAGCCATGAAGCCACTGGTTTATTTTCCTAGATGAACTGGGATACATGCTGAAGGTGTGATCAGGTTGTCATGGGATGGATTTCTTCAACTGTGGAAGGCCCTGGAACCTCATATTTCTCATATAAAAAGGTAGAGCCTTGGCTACTCCCATGAACCACTCGTTGAGGTAGCTCCTAAGATCAGCAAATGATTTAGCAGAGTTCTTCTTCCCCTTTGTTCGGTTATTCCTCAACATCTCTACAACGGTCCAAAGTCCTCTGCAACTACCTTTTTCTGGTTCTAATTTCTAATCTCCTCCCATCATCCAGTGTCTCTTTCTGTCTTCACTGACGCTCTTTCTTTTTTACTCTAGTTTTATCCTCTCTCTCTCTCTCTCTACGATCCTTCTTGCTTGCTCCATCCGTGTGTTTCAGGCGAATCATATTATGTAATATGTATTCCCACGCATCTCTGACGAGATCTAAACTGTCAATCCGCCGAGTAGCCGGAACCCAACAGTTGAACTTGCATCCATTTTTCAATCAAGCAAGAGGTTCAGCTGCTGCTACTACTACTTCTTCTTCTGTACCGGCAAACTTGCTTACTAAGTCGACCAATAACACTGATAAACAAAAGGACTTCGTTTTCATTTATCAAAAAAAAAAAAAAGTACTTTGTTTTCAGTTTGTTATTGAGGTCTCTTTCAGGGATTGTTGTGGACTCGGGTCTAGGATTTTGGTTGTGGTCTTTTGCTGCTGTTGCTGCTGGAAATTCGTCAGTCTCTTTAGCTGATTTTCACCAACAATGGCTTTGGAGGAAAAGCGGCACCCAAAGACTTTCCATGATGGGGGGAAAGAGAAGAACCCCGAGTTTCTTTTTGGATTTATTTTGTTTTCTTCTAAATTTTTCCATTTTCCAACTGTTTTGTTTAATCAGTTTGGTAAATTAAGTGGGAAGTTTTGAAATCATAACAGTGATGGATTATTGAAATCAGGAGTTCAGTTGTTACGCCTATACTTGAATAATGCTTCTTGAAACTGTTGGAATCCAATTTCAGATAGCATCATCACCAACCTGATGCATGTAAGTCATCAGCATTTACATAAAGAATTTCATGAATTAATGCTGAACTTTTTTAATGATCAAAATTATGCTTTTCTTTCTCTGTACAGGATGGTTTCTACCACTAATGTTAAACCAAGATCAGTTTATTTACTCCATTGGAAACTTTTATCTTACATTGTTTTCTTCATGCATGTATGTATGTGAGAAAAGGATTTAAATCATTTAGGAAAAAGGTTTTTTAATCATGTCAACTAGAGTTTTTCCCTACATGACATCCCCCATTTTCTGTCACAAGGATGAAATATGTGATGGATCTGAACAAACCATCAAATGGTGGATCAATTAGATTGGCCATGTGTTAAATCATTCAGTTCACATTGTCCTTTATTTAACAAGTTTTTATATATCGGCCAGCTAGAGAATTGATTCCAAGAAATCTGGTGATGCCAAACGTGATTTTGTTTCTAATAAACAAAAATCAGATGATTGTGCCAAACATACCTACCAATTCTCTGGATGAAAATTCTTAGAATCCATCCTTTTCTGAAAGGATTCTAAGAATGAGAATTTTCAGAATTGATACCAAACGGGGCCTTAGCTTTCTGTTAATTGTAGTGATATTGTACCATTTCTGTTTTTTAATAAATAAATAGAACCTTTTATTAATTTGGAAATATTAGCACATACAAGCAGCCCTTGGAGAGGCGCGAGCTGTGATCTCTCCACTAAAGAAGAAAGCAAAAGCAAAAGTTAAAGTTGTGCCCAATACAAAAATTCCCTAGCTGCCCCTTGCTTGGCTAGACAGTCCGCCATGGCATTTGCTGATCTCCCCACCCATTGTATTCTTAGGTCCATGTTTTTTGTCAGAACCTTAAACTTTTTAATTTCATTCCTGAAGCACCAAACTCTGGGTTCTGTAACCAGATTATTACAACCTTTGAGTCACCATTTCTGTTTTTTCCCCTACTACTGAAATTTAATGACAGGATTTTTATTGAGCACACACACACACATATATATATATATATACAGAGAGAGAGAGAGAGAGAGAGATTATATGTAATACATGGTACAGTTATCCTTCAACAAATTTAAATATCTTCTTGATAATCCAACTATATAGCATTGTTCACAAACAAAGAATCTTGCATGAATCTATGATTTAGGTTTATCCAATAACAAATATAATTAGTTGGGTTTCTTTCTTTTCTTTCCTTTTTTTTTCATTTTCCAAATCAAAGCGGCAAGTGATTAGAAAAATAGCATCTAATTATCAATCTAAATTTCTAACTGCTAAAATAGATTTTATGTCACTTAGCAATTAACACCATATGCAAACAAAAATTTCAAAGTAAATTGAAAGAAATAAGTTGAATTTCACCCAAAAAGAAATTACAGCTCACAATAAAAATTAATTATAGTTCAAATTTTTTTTCTTTTTTTCAAAACAGAGTAACAAGTAAATAATAGAATAACTTAACAAAGTATACATTGTATAGTACCACATGACCTTCAATTTTAAGAGACGACATGATCATAAAACAGAGGAAAAACATTATACAGAGTTATTAACATATCTGCTCGACAATAAGAACTTCAGAATTTTCTAAAATGTAACAAAAAAGTTTAAAAATCATATAAAAAGGACAAGACAGGACAGTACAATTAAATATGACCACATTTTACCAAGATACAACATAATAAATAAAAAAAGAAAGAAAACAGAGTACATACCAAATGATGAAACTCTCAAGTACTGCTAAAGAAATACAGTTTATATATCAATAGGTTTCTGTATAAAAAATAAGGATCTTTGTACAAAAAGCTCTCACGTTTTGTAAATATCAAACACTGTAGTTTGTACTAACTACTAATATATAAAATGGGTGGAAGAGAGAAACCAAAATAAGCTCTTATTGTTTGATCATGAAGGATGATATTGATCTATAGTTATTTTTTTGAACAGCTTTAAATGAGTTTGTATCATCACCAATGCCACAAGGACTTCAGTTATATTATATATATCATCGTGTAGAGATCATATGTGCAAGAACGTTTTTTTGAGTGTGGGGTTAATTTGGAAGGGTCACACAAGATGCAGCTGCATAAGCACTTCCTCTACAGCTCTACCATCAAATCTTCCATCTCAAATCAATTGCTGGAGCTACCCATGTCAAAGTCCATTGTATAATCATGTTCAATAGTAGGAATTACAGAGGCTACAAATTTCAAGAACAAGAACAAGTACTTGTCAACTTATGGTTCATCTCCTCGTGACATTAGAACATCAATGATCTTTTTCATCACAGCACCATGCCTACATGGATGTACAGATGCATGCTTCCCTGGAAAATGAGGATGGTCCTCAACGGTCACTGTTTTGTGGGCTTGGTCTTGACTAACATCTTTAAGTACAAGCTCTGGTTCTAAGAGAATCCTTGACTCATCATATCCAGTAAGCCAAACACGTGGAGTTTGATAATACTTACCATATGTGACGCTAACATTATATGTTCGAGTCTGGAGAATATTGTCATCATCAGGTTCATGAGCCACAAGATATGTAGATTGAAGTGTTGCAGCATCTGTCTCAATAAGGTTATCAGGATCTTCATACTCTTCCATATCTGGAATATCTTCTTCCTCTTTACCACCAAAATATGAGGGGATTGAGTGAATAGTTTTGTTCTTGCTGATCTCTAAGGTCTCCATGGAAGGTAAATTTTCCTCCTCATCACACTTGGTTTCCTTTGGTTTCCCATGAGTTGCTAGTCAACCATCATTATCTTCATTATCAAGAAGAACTTCCCCTCCTGCAGCTTCATATTCTTCTTCCACAGATGCTGCACTTTGTAAACAAGGCACATTTCTAGTGATTAAATACTACTTATCAGGGGGTAAGTAGGACTTGCGTTTGCTCGGCTCCCCAGATTCCCAATACCAGGTAGGGCATTTGGAGACAAGATTATCGCTGGCAAGAATGAATTAGCTGATGCTAAGAACACCTTTCTTCTTGAATGCGGAGACCGTACGAGGCCCTGTAATCCTCTCGACGGTCCCTTTGAAGGCTTCATTATTGATATACAGTTATTAGTCCTAATGTTTTTGCACATAAAGTTAATTTTGACCTAGGGTTTCTTATTTTCTCAAATAATTTAAACTTTCCACGCTCTAAGACTTTCCAACTTATGTTTTGAAGGCCAGCTTCCATTAATCTCCTTCTCTAATACAGATTTGATAAAACACTGGTATACAACAGCTATGGGGCCTTAGCACTACAATATCTAGTTGTGGACTTTGTAGGGTGAAAGAAGATAATTTGAGTGATTAACAATGAAGAAAAGAGATGGACACCAGGAGCCAAGATCATGTACAAATCTCCATTTCCCATTGTCTTCCAAATCAATGCAATCATTAAACAGATTGTCTTTAGTCCCAGACCCTAAATCCTCTCCAGAATTTTTTTTCCTGATAAGCAAGTAAAAGATGAAATGTCATTAAAAAATACGAAGAAGAGGGTGAAGCGCCCTTGACTCATTTACAGAAGCTTCTATACATGTATACCTTTCAATCCCTCCATACACTTTGCATCAATAAAAAATGATAGAATTCCAACTGTTCAAAAACTATCTATAGGTATAAAAGAGTTCAAGACCTGCACCCATCGCACAAGACGAGACCATTCAAGATCTACAGGACAAGTTTACCCTTTTTCTTTTTTGATTGGAAATGGTAACTTTCATTCAATTAGTAATAAGTACAAATATTAACACCCGGAGATAGGGTGCTGATCCCTCAAAGTATCTCAGAATTACATCGAAGCCCTAAACAATTCCTCCCCAGTAACTCCTTGCATTGCTAGAGTATCAGCCAGTCCATTTGCTAATCTTCTAATCCACTTAAGAAGTACCTCAACCACTCTTGCTAGGCACCTGATTTCTCTTACAACCTGTCTAAGGGTCCAGATTCCCAAGCTGTTTCTTTGCATCCAACCTATTAACAACTTGGAGTCGCCCTCCACCTCAATTTGCTGTAGACCCATCTCTTTAGCCAATCTCAAACCTTGGCATAGGGCCAATGCTTCAGCTCTTCGTGAATCACCTACCCCTATTGGTCCTGAAAAAGGAGACAAAATTGTTCCTTCTCCATCTCTTAACACACCCCCAATACCAAATGGACCCGGATTTCCTTGAAGCTTCCATCAAAATTCAGTTTAATCCTTTGTTATTTTGAAGGTGTCCAACTTTCTTGCATAGCAGGTTTTGAGGGTGAAGAGCCAGCAACTGCACTCCAGCCTCTAATTATATCAACAACTGAAAAATCCTTGAATAATTCAAGTGTTTTCAACCAATGTGCAACCTTGATGGTGATGCATTCAATAACTTCCTCTTTTGATTTTTGTTGCCCTTGAAAAATTCTGTTGTTTCTCTTCCCGAACTGACCAAAAAATGGTTGCTCATGTAGTTCTCATTATTCTTCCCCTCTTCTTCGGCGGTCTAAAGAAGCTCGGGTCAAAAAGGCCCACCACACCTGGGGGAGGTAATGATCCAAAAACATTGTCTTTAATAGAGAAAAAATTGCCAGCAGCCCCATTTTGGTTTCCCTCAGTCCTCTTCTCAGCCCCAAGTCCCAAGAGTTCTCGTTAGCATAGATAGAGGAAATGACTTCGAACATGTTTAAAGAAAGGGAGTAAATATTCAAGATTCTATCCTTAAGAGAGGTGTCCCCAAGCCAAACATCCTCCCAAGATAAAATACCAGAAATAGCTTTCCAAGGAGAGTGTCGCCCTGGGGTCAAGACTAGCATCCCATCCATTTGCTACCAATCCATAGAAGCTAACTATCACCTTGTACCACAAAATATCCTGCCCCGAAGGTAGCCCCCATAGCTATTTTACCAACAATGCTATGTTTCTTAGTTTTATATTTCCAATGCCTAAACCCCCTTGATCTCGGATTCTAGAAACCATCTCCCACTTCACTAAATGATGCTTTTTTGAATCTCTTGGTTCCCAAAGAAAGTATCATGTGATCTTTTCTAGCTGATTGACAACCTTAACAAGTATTGTGAAGGTAGATAAGAAGAACACCATAAAGTTTGTTAGTGTTTACTTGATTTAAAGTGATTAAAGTGTATATTTGAGAAGCGATTTTTGTTGTCAAAATCAGTATAAGCAAGAAGACTTCGAAGCCCCCATCCAACCATCAATTAATGATTTTCACTGGCTTACTCACTAATGCCACCATGGAGATAGTGTACTTTTAGAGAAAATCAGAAAATTATCAAGCTACTGATGACTTAGCCAATAGGGTTTGTAAACCAGTGTGTCAGCCTCGGACCGGAAAAACCAATTTGGCCACTGTCACAGGTTGAGTGGTTCAACTATACAATTTAGTTGCCTGACTCACTCGTATAAAAAAAATGAAAAAAAAAAGAAATAAAAAGTAAATGGTTCCAGATTATCTTTACACCAAAATAAGCATAAAACAACATATACTGTACATTATCTCCAAGAGAGCAACATAAGAACTCACAATACAGCCCAGTACAATTGATCCCTTCCCACCCCCTGCTTTGCCAAAGCATCTGTTCTTTTTACCTACTGAAATTGTATGTCCATCCCCCTAGTTAGCCATTTGATTTCCCTTCTTTCATTAGCAAACTTCCAAAGCCCACTTCCCTTCCGTAACCAACTTAACACCAACTTTGAGTCCCTTTCAATAATTAACTTCTGTATTTTCAGTTCCTTGCTCTAATACCTTCCAGTACAGCATAGATCTCGGCTTTAAGAGAGTCCCCAACCCCAATGAAGCCTGAATACATTGCCATCACCTTCCCATCCTCATCTCTGAACACACCTCCTACACCTGAAGGGCCTGGGTTACCTTCACTACTCCCATCAAAAAATAGCTTTATAAAACCATTGCTAGGTGGTGACCACATAGGAGAAGCAGAAAACCGAGCTGGAGCAGAGTTGGCCACTTCCACCCAATTGGTCAGTAACATACCTGTAAAAACATCATCAAACAGCTGCACAGATTTTAGCCACTACACCACCCTAACTGTTATAACCTCAATAACACCTTCTTTACATCTTTCCTTTCCTCCCATAGATTCTAGCAAGTAGCAGCCCTCACACATCTTCACATAATCCTTCCCCTTATCTTTGGCCATCCAAGGAAGGAGGAGCTAAACAAACTTTGGATGTTTGACGGGCAAGAAATTAATAAGTGGTAAGAGCTTTCACCATTAGCCTTACAGAGAATGCACCAACTCGGAAACAAGCACCAATAAGGCCTTTTCCTTTGGAGTAAGTCACAAGTGTTACATCTTTCTAAGAAGGCTTCCCAACAGAAATCTCCAATCCTTGGAGGAATCAGCTCACCCCAAACTTCCTTTACTGGGAAATTTTGTGCAAGATTACTGGTAGAATGCAAGAGGGACTTAAAAAAGGAAGCACAAGTGAATATCCCAGAGGGAGCTAGAGTCCACAGTCTCTTATCCCTCTCAGAGGGATCCAACACCACCCCACTTAAGATTTGAATCAAATTCATTACATTTTCAGCTTCTGAATCCCTTAAGCCTCTCCTAAACCACAGATCCCAATCAAACCCAAAGTTAAACTCGGAAGGAACCAAAAAACTAGACACAACCTTGCCTTTGTACCGGGAGAGTGAGAATAGGTAAGGAAATTAGTCTTTCAAAGGTAATTCACACACCCAAATGTGCCCCCAAAATTTTACCCGATTCCCAGAATAGAGGTCATACCTGATGTGTTGCAAAAAAGAAGGTAGAATGGCATGTATGGATTTCCAAGGAGATGCTCCAATTGACCTTGCCAAAGACCATGTATCCCAGCCATCCTTTGCCTGACCATGAATACTCAAAATTCACCTTCCAACCTCCACAACCATTTACCTAACAAAGCTTCATTTTTCTTTTGAACATTGCCTAATTCTAACCCTCCATCAGCCCTACTTTTAGAGACCAATTCCCAATTTACCCTATCCTCCTTTTCCTCCCCTGGTTCCCACAAGAAGTCCCTCATCAACTTTTCCAATATTCTACAAATCTTTGCTGTGATTCTAAAAACTGACAAGTAATACACAAGCAGACTTGCCAATGTAAACTTAATCAATTGATTCTGCCACCCAGAGATAAGTAATTCTTCTTCCAAGAGGCTAACTTCTTCTAAAATCTATCAATTACAAGGCTCCAAAAGCTCTTTCTTCGGGTTATCCCCTAGAAGCATCCCCAAATAATGCATAGGCCATTGAGCTACCACACACCCTAAAGCTTCAGCCCTTTCCCTTATAGCTCTCTCTTTCATATTAACCCCCACCACACAGCTCTTATCAAAATTCACCTTCATATTTGACATCTGTTCAAATACTTGAACCACCAACTTCAAATTTCTGGTCCATCTCACATCCTCCCCCTCACAAAACAAGATAGTATCATCAGCAAACTGTAAGTGGGTAATAGGTATACTATCTTTTCTAACCCTCCACCCCCTCACAAGACTTCTCGAATTTGCTCTCTCAACTAACCTCCCCAACACTTCTGCAATCAAGGTGAAAAGGAAAGGGGAGATAGAGAGAGAGAGAGAGAGAGGGTTCCCCTATCTAATTCCCTTAATATTTGGAAAGTGATCCACTACAGTTCCACTCACCATGATAGAATAATGACAAGTCTCAATACAACCCAGTATCCATTTGCACAATTTCTTC